ATTATCATTGTGGAAACTTTACACAAAATGTGAAGTTCTAAATCCATTCACTACATGACCGTTCTAAAATATAAGTGTGCAATTACGACTTTAATGCAAAGTTTCCGAATATATGCCCTTAAAATTGGTAGTTTTTTTTTCTCGATCGCTACAGGAAATGCAAGAAAAGCAGTAATCGAGCTTCAAAAATTAATATTTTTGGGAGAGGACCTTCAGGCATTGAAAGGTCATTGCAACTTACGACTTCTACAGTTCAAGTGATTTTTTAACAGTAAAATTCGAATAATTCAGACTCCCCTCCAGATTCTCCACAGTATTCCTATATTGATTGTGAAATAAATAATGGAAATGAATAATGAAATAGTTCCCGCCAATCTCGGCTCCCTAAACTCGGAATAATAGTGCTTGGTCTATTGTTCGGTAGGCGAAATTTCGCAAGTGGTCCACGAGAGTGGTCCACGGGAGTGGTCCGTGGTCCACGAGTGTAGTCCATGGACCAGGTCCACGAAGGTAGTCCATGAACCTGGGGTCCGCGTTTTGTCGTTTCCCATAAATAATTGAACGCAAACCAGTCGAGGTTGTTTTTATTATATGGCAAGGCCAAGGCCATATAATATGGCTAACTCGATCTGTATTTTTGAGACGTGGATGCATGGGCAAACGAAAAATGTCAGAACATACCACACTGATGCAAGTTGGAAGCTTGAATTTCTATTCAGACAATAACAATTTAATTGGTATATACAAACGTAATACAAGTCCATAAAGCGATAAAAGGTTCAACAAGTTGCGTCGATCATTATACTGATCTAGCTTTATGAAGATTAAGATTACCATTTCAGTCTATCGCGCGAATGAACATGTGGATATGACCAACTGCGCTTTACATCAAGTATTACGCTCACCTAATTACACACTTAGGGGCCGATTACATGGAGCATTTTCAACCCCGGGGTTGAACTCAGCCCTGTTTACCGGGTTGAAATTTCAGCCCTGTCTGTAATACAAAACTCTATCAAAATCAAACGCGCGATTACATGACAAAATATTCAACCCAGGGCTGAGTTCAACCCCGGGGTTGAAATTTCAACCCTGCTTCAGCTACACGGCTAAAAACGCACAGGTTGTTGCAAGTTGATATCGACAGGCGTGAACAATGTTGTGCGGCCAACTATGAACAAGTTGTCAACCATGTTGTTCCAAGTTGTTACAGTTGAACAATGCTGTAACAACATGTTGACAGTACTGTTCATCGTGGGCCGCACAACCTTGTTCACGCCTGTCGATATCAACTTGCAACAAGTTGTTGATTTTCTCAATTTTTACGCGTGTATATAGACTATTTTACCTTTACAACAATTGTGATATTACGTTATTAACTGTGTTTATCCTAACCCACCCTGTGGTCAAACCCATGTATATATATGACCCCAAACAATGTACCTTAAGGTCCAGGCACACCGGACGCGACAACGCGACGCGATTTTTCGATTTTCACTGACCGATAACTTTGATCCTAGTTATATAACTAAAAAATCACTAACTAAAAAACTAAAAAATCACGTCGCGTTGTCGAATCGCGTCCGGTGTGTCTGGACCTTTAAACAATTTTAAAACTGACATAGGTACATGTTGGTAGGTGTGACTGTCTTAGGCAGGGCCGCCGGGAGGGGGGGCAGGGGGGGCCTAGAAATTTAATGCTGGGCCCCAGTAATTTTTTCGGGCGAAATATTTCTGTTTTCGGGCCAAAATATTTATGTTTTGGGGGCAAAGTACCGAAATTTGGTATGGAAAATTGCGGAAAAGTCCCACGAAAGCAATTATAACGCACCTAAAAAGAAATTATTGTCCGAAAAACTTTTTTCAGGAACATTTTTTTGCAATAGGGCCCCTAAAAAAATTTTTGCCCCGGGCCCCCGCCAAGCTCTTGGCGGCCCTGGTCTTAGGTAACGACAGTAGTGACAAACTTTGTAAGTTCTTTAGAATAATAAAACGACTATACCTTATTAATTATTAACATAATAAACGAAACCGACCCATTAACTCGAAGCTCTGCCAACTCGAACAATTTTTCGCTTCCCTTCATAAAAAAAAACTACTGCATGCTTTTTTAATGCAAATTATTTTAACAATAAAAGAACCTGTTAAAAGTGTTTCAGCAGCATTTCGTGCTGCCTGTTGAGTATTTTTCTTCTCTTTAGATACTCTATTCTTTTCGTAAACTGGAGAAACGTTCTTTCTAAACTTCTGACTCCATTTTGAGCATTTATGCAGTATATGTACGTAGCCGGTTAAATGAAGGTCTGATTCCACGAGCGCTTTTTGTCAGCGAAATGCGAAATATTTCGCCTGTTTCTTTTGAATTGTGAGCAATCAAGTAGAAATAATTTATTCGAGTGGTCGCAATTCAAAAGAAACAGGCGAAATATTTCGCATTTCGCTGACAAAAAGCGCTCGTGGAATCAGGGCTTTAGAGCGGGCAACAATTTTTCACTTGTTGCTCCGCGACGGAATACATTGTATTTATCTAAACCCACTTGACCACAAATCAGCCACTCACATTTAATTTAAGCACTAGCTGTATTTAGTTATATACTTTCTGAGGGCCACAACTTTATTAGCGCGCGTTTTTGCGTTATTCTGTGTTTCCCTTCATTTAAAATCGTAAGCACAACTATATACTATAGTATTTTCAGAATACTATTTTCAGAAAACATATTTCCTGAATCCTGAATGATATATACCTTGTGACTCTTTCGTATTTTTACAATTTCAGTTCACAGATAAAATGTCGGGGGTAGCCGCTACAAGGAAGATCATTCCATCTACTACTAGTACGCACTGCTATTTCGACGCAATCTTCGTTGCCACCACTATTACTTGGTCCGTTTCCGGCCCAATTGGTATAGGATGCCTCGACGTCGTTTTCCACGGTGTAAAACTTGTTCTTGAGATCTCCTTTACCTCTATATACTCCTATGTATGCTTTGGTGACCTCTCGTTCCTTCATAGCCTCGTAAATATGTTGCTCGTTTTCCTTCGATCTTGGTACCGCCAAGTCGCCACCACGTGCTTGGCAGTCAGCTCGTGCAGTAAGCCACGTGGCACTAGTTTCTTCACTGACATAGTAACAATGCGGACCATGAAATTTCGTCCAGTTGCCAGGGCAATTTTGATCTGAATTGAATAAAGGATATTGGAAAGAGTATATAATCAATGCGAACGACGTCTAGCTGCCTGGGCTTCGCGGAAAACCGATCGATGACATTGTTTTTCAATTTTTGCACGAAAATGTTCATTTTTAGAACTAAAAAATCTACTAAACAAAAAGGTAATTCAAAAAGGATTGATGCAAGTGCAGTACATATTATTCTGTTTTCTTTTCGAATCGCACATACATAGCCAAAAAACAAGAATTTGCTCGGGACGGAAAGCGTCTCAAAAGACAAAAACTATATATTTTTAAAATAGCAAAAAAGAAACTGGAACTTACCGAATTCCTTCTCAGTAATATCACTCTGATTTTTTAATTCATTCTGTAGAAAGAGAAAAACTATCAGTTCAGGAGTATAGATAGGCGAGAATTCGGTAATATATATATCCCATTTAAAAGCCTAAGATGTTTTGGACCTAATTTCCATAAATTGAACAGGTTCATGCAGTGAAACATGTAAGTTTTCCCACCTGTCCTTAAGTAACTCTAGAAAGTAACCAGCCTTGGTTGTTTTGTAAGTCACTAAGTATCGATGAGCCAAGGGAACACTCTACAGTATACAGTATAATATGAAAGCTTTTTACTCACTGTCGACAAAACCTCATAAAATATCCAATCATCGCCGTTCATAACTTCCATATTTTCCAAACTTCTCCCACTGATTTGACAATTTTCTTTGTTGATATATTTGTCGGTTATTCCTGACTTAAAATTAAATCCAAAGCAGCGAAATTCTTCAAGGCATTTCAGAGAACATTCTTCTTCAACATCTACTATATGAGTTGACACGACAACAGGTGCTGGCAATGAACCGCCTTTATGCGCAAATAAAAGAAATGGATCGATGGAGTCACAATGTTATGTTTGGATATATGAATCTGAATCTTATGAATCTGAATCTTCACAGGAAAATTTGAAGACTTATTTTTGTTTCAAATATTAGACTTACCTTTCCTCATTTTGATGAAGTACAATGATGTCGGCTCTGCGCAGATTAGTTTTGAAGTAAAAACCATTATAAATATCACAGTAATAAAATTGCTCATTTTCTCATTTGTCTTAAAAATCAATCACATACAAAACGTCGCCATAGCATGATATATGACAAGCAAAAAAGGCGCATCCGAACAGCTTGCCGTAACACTACATGTGGCTTGAAATAAAGATAAATGATGTCTCAATTGCTTCAAATGCATGGCTAATTATTTATAAATAATCGAAACAATTTTATTCGCTGCATGACGCTCAAGACTTAAGTGCATTAATTGTGTGTAAAACAACATGACGGCTTGTCGATGTCTTATATATATCCTCGCTCTCTTTCTCTCGCCTTCGCATTCCCCCCTAGCTTTTCCCACCCTCGCCCTCCCCCCTAAATAGCGCCTGCAACGCAGGCTATCTTATATATAGGACGGCTTACTTGTCGACATTTTTTCATACAGTTGGAAACCTTGGTAACGTTTCCGAGAGGAATTGAGCTAAATTACTTGAAAACAGTCCTGGAGTAACGCAATATTGATGACAGTTAGGATTAGCCCAGTGCTGTTATTTTTGCGCCGGGGAGGGGGGGGGGGTTGTTGATTGGGGTGGAAGCAACCAAAACGAAAGGTTATTAATCAGTACCAACTTTGGAAAACTTTGAAATCTAATATTAATTAGAGAGATAGTTATGCAACTCAGCCAATGGACAATTCCAGCTATGGACTAATTTTTTATCTAGACAAGAAAGACTAAATACATCATTAGGCCTATAGCTCAAAAGAGCGTCCTAAAATTAGTAATTACAAAATTGCAAAGTTTGGTTGCGAAATATAGCCCTGTGAAATTAGCAAATTTTGATTATTTTAGTATTACGTGCGGTAAAAATAACCATTTTCAGTGAGCCGAAAGTGGTTATTTTTACCGCGCGTAACTAAAATACTGAAAATTTGCCGATTTCACAGGGCTATATTTTCCGTATTTTACGACATTTCGCAACCAAACTTTGCAATTTTACTATTTTGAGCTATAATGGTATATTTCGTCTTCGTTGTCTAGATCATAATTCAGTAGTTGATACTGTGGAATGGACCATTCCCCAATTAACCAAAATTTTGAACTCAACAAGTATAGACAATAAATTCATCACAGATTGAAAGAGCATCACAAAATTAGTAATATTCCAAAGTTTCGTTGCAAAATGTTGTAAAATGCGGATAATATAGCCTTGCGAAATTTGCAATTTTCAGTCATTTTAGATTACAAACGGGAAATGGTTAACGTTACCACTTCTTTGCGTAATACAAAATGACTGAAAATTACAAACTTCGCAAGGCTATATTATCCACCTTTTACAACATTTCGCAACGAAACTTTGGAATATTACTAATTTTGTGATGCTCTTTCCAGGGGTGAAATTTTTGTTTAGGCTAGTTAAGATCAAAATTTTGGAAAAGTGGTAACCATTTCCCGTTTGTAATCTAAAATGACTGAAAATTGCAAATTTCCCAAGGCTATATTATCCGCATTTTACAACATTTCGCAACGAAACTTTGGAATATTACTAATTTTGTGATGCTCTTTCATGCCATGAATTTTGTCTAGACTTGTTGAGATCAAAATTTTGGTTAATTGGGGAATGGTCCATTGTCTATTGCGTACGAGCATTTCAGAGTCTACATATATTCCATAAATGACCGATCGTTGTCCGACACAACGAGTTTATTGAATTAATTAGAAACAACGTTCTATACCAGTTTAGCAGCTCTATATAGAGTTTGCCTAAACTTTTGACTCCATCCTGAGAATTTATGTTATCCTACGTAGCCGGTTGGAAGGCCGTGGGCTGTTGTGCAAAAAAGTGCCTAGAAAAGCAATTTCGTGGCACCCTCCTGGGAAATAGATTTTCTGTGGTTCAATTCATAGAACCATAGATGCTTAATTACCCAAAAAAGTTCCCAAGCAAAAAACCTGCCCAACACCGAGAAAATGGGTGATCAGTGATTATCCTCTATTAAATTGTATTACAGCAAAAAAATGTAAAATTTTGTATTCAATTACAACAAAAATGACTTGCATTATCAGAAAGCTTACAAAAACCTACATATAAGACATTTAAACAGTTTTTTATATCTATAATTGTTTTCGAGTTATACGCTGTCAAAAACGCGTTTTTAACCTAGTACCCAGTCCTTATTGCGACATTTTGGTCCAATTTTCACATTTAAAACAGCAATAACTCAAATACTATTTGAAAAATAAAAAAACTGTTTAAAAGTCTTATATGCGGTTTTTTGTACGTTTTCCGATGATGCAAGTCATTTTTATTGTAATTGAATACAGAATTTCCCATTTTTTTGCTCATTGATCACCAATTTTCTCGGGATTGGGCAACTTGTTTTGCTTGGGAACTTTTTAATTTTTGGTAGTGATGTACCTATATGCCTTTCAAATAAACCCCAAACCAAGTATTTCCCACATGGGTGCCACGAAGCGAAATAATTTTGGCCAACAGCCCACGACCTTTACTCCGCGGCGGAATACATTACTGATTGCACTTATCTTAACCTGCGATCAGGAATAGAGCCTGATCGCAGGTTACACTTATCTAAACCCACTTGACCACAAATCAGCCAATCATGTACATTTAGTTTAAGCACTATAGCTATATTATTGTATTTTATCTGTATATTTAGTTATATACTTTCTGAGGACCACAAGTTTATTAGTGTTTTTGCACTATTCTGTGTTTCGGCCTTCATTAAATAAAGGCTCAATTAATGAATCAATCAGTACTATATAATAGACAACTTGCATGTTAGACTAATTTTTTATCTAGGCAAAAAAAGTAAATTCCCGTGAAGAACTTATTAAAATTAGTAAATTTCAAATTTTGGTTATACGAAATCTTGTAGAATACGGAAAATATAGCCTTGCGAAGTTTGCATATTTTGTATATGTTTGTATTACGTGCGGAAATTGTTATCATATAATTATATTCATTTTTTTCTGTGTTGGTGTTGTGTACTCAGGTGAATAATATGTTTAAGTCTTTATTGAATACTTCGCATACAGACGTGCAAGTTTACATGAGTTTATCCGAAATTGGCGTGACGCAGACCGAGGTAGACTGTGAGCTTACAAATGGCGCTTTAATTAAGCAACCGCTATTAGTCCATACCTCAACCATACCTCATTAACCATCTGCTCCCTAACCTATGTGCCTAACCCGCCCTGTCAACTTTCCCTGTGGGAGGAGACCGGAGTACCCGGAGAAAACCCACGACCTTCGGCAGAGCGTTGACTTTTACTCTTTTCACATGAGGACTGGGATCGAGTCACATCATGAGAAATTCTCATTGAGATTTGAACCGGCGACCTCAGAGGTGAAAGGCAAGTGCGCTAACCACTTGGCCATGTTTGTGATGTTACTCTGAGTGTATATCCACACTGGGCGAGCTTGAAAAGTATGCCCGGCCACGGTGGGAATCGAACCTACGACCTTTGGAATACTAGCCCAATGCTCTGCCAACTGAGCTACGCGGTCAGGACGGTTCGAGTAAGTCAGATATTTCGGAACAGAATCTAGTTCCTTCGATACCAATGTAATCTAGTAATATGAATTTTTTTCTGTGTTGGTGTTGTGTACTCAGGTGAATAATATGTTTGTGATGTTACTCTGAGTGTATATCCACACCGGGCGAGCTTGAAAAATGGGCTAGTATTCCAAAGGTGTAGGTTCGATTCCCACCGTGGCCGGGCATATTTTTCAAGCTCGCCTGGTGTGGATATACACTCAGAGTAACATCACAAACATATTATTCACCTGAGTACACAACACCAACACAGAAAAAAATTCATATTACTAGATTACAATGGTATCGAAGGAACTAGATTCTGTTCCGAAATATCACTTACTCGAACCGTCCTGACCGCGTAGCTCAGTTGGCAGAGCATTGGGCTAGTATTCCAAAGTCGTAGGTTCGATTCCCACCGTGGCCGGGCATATTTTTCAAGCTCGCCCGGTGTGGATATACATTCAGAGTAACATCACAAACATACATAATTATATTGTTACCATGTACAATTTCCCCACGTAATACAAATGTATTATGTATACAAAATTTGGAAACTTTGCAAGGCTAATTTTCCAACCGAGCTTTATATCATTTCGCAACCAAATTTTGCAATTTTACTAATTTTATTACGCTCTTTTTAGCTCGGGTGTTTGATTCCCTTTCTCTTTACTTGGATTAAAATTTAGTCTAACATGCAAGCCGACCATTGGTGACGTACTATTTAAAATCTTAAAAAGGAGTCCCTATGATACCTTGTGACTCTTTCGTAATTTTATAATTTCAGTTCACAGATAAAATGTCGGGGGTGGTTGCTGCAAGGAAGATCATTCCATCCACTAGTATCCACTATTATTTCGACGCAATCTTCGTTGCCACCACCATTATTTGGTTCGTCTTTGGCCCAATTGGTATAGGATGCCTCGACGTCGTTTTCCACGGTGTAAAACCTGTTCCTGAGATCTCCTGTACCCCTATATACTCCTATGTATGCTCTGCTGATATTGCGTTCCTTCATAGCCTCGTACATATGTTGCTCGTTTTCCTTCGATCTTGGTACTGCCAAGTCGCCACCACGTGCTTGGCAGTCGGCTCGTGCAACAGGCCACGTCGCAGTTTCCTCACTGAGATAGTAACAATGCGGACCACCAAACTTCGTCCAGTTGCCAGAGCAATTTTGATCTGAACAGAAAAATAAAGAATATTGGAAAGAGTATAATCAAATGCAAACGATCGACGAAGTCTCTGCCCATCTGGGACCGGTTGTTCAAAGGTGGGTTAACGCTAACCCTGGGTTAAAATTTAACCCGCTGTTTTAGATTGTGTATTTCTGCACGTCTGTTTATTTCAAAACTTCAGAGAAGTAAACTCCTATCGATCCAGAAAAGATCTCTGAAGAAATATCTCCAAATTTATAGACAAGCTATATCGGGAAGTTTGCTTTGAATTTTAGGTTAACCGAGGGTTAAGCTAACCTAGCTTTGAACAACCGGCCCCTGGGCATTATGTTCACAGGGAGGTAAAACATGAATTGCGTTTTTATTTCCCATGAAACATTAAATGGAATCTTATGCGATCCTTCACACCTCGCGCAAATAAATATCGTACACACTCAACAACCATGAAGTAATCTATTGTTTATATGGAAAATTCTGCGGTTTTTGTTGAGTATAAAAGATATTTTCGTTCATTTCAGACAAAATCGTTAGCATTCCACCATCTTGAATGTAATATTTCAAATCCGACCATATGAGGACTGGACTAGATTTCAAGTCCGTGCAATTTGATCATTTCGCTAGGCAAAATTATTCTACCAAAATATGTCATTTTATGAGATCAAAATATGAGATTTTCAAAAAAAGTTTAAAAAATAAAAAAAAGTAAAAAAAGTTAGATTTTCAAAAAAAGTTTAAAAAGTTAAATTAGGGTTAGGCGGTTAGTGTTAGGGGTTATATAGGTGCCGCGAATTTATCATATTGATAAATTCGGACGTGTTTAACAATTTACTCATATAGCAAATTCAAAGGTGGAGCTCATGCTGCAATGGCCACCTCAAAATCCGAACATCAAGAATATGGAACACACTACCCAATTATATTACATCCAAAGACCTAACATTTTCAGAATTCAAGAATCTTCTTTTTAAGTACTATATTTTAGCATTAGAAAATACATACGATGTTGAGGATCCCCGAACATGGAAAAGTGTGTGTATAAAATGTAATTCCGCTCGAAGTTTAATGAACTCTCCATTGACATGCTGCTTTTAGACAAATGTAATGACTGTTGTTCAAGTATTGTCTGTTGTGTGTGTTTCGTATACCTTGTAAATTGTTTCTGTATAACTATTGGGGCCGCTGTAATTGGCAATAGCTGTTGTGGTTTCCCAGCCAATGAATGTATAAGTATGATGGCAAAGTAAATAAATAAAAGTCTCATTGGCGAGTTAAGCAAGCGACGTTAATTTTGTCAACACGAGCGTCACCCGAAAATTGGTATAACTAATTTTGACGGCATTTTGCCTCATACTGCGCTCGTGTAAGGAAGCATGCAGAAAACTTTAAAAATCTTATATTTTGTCATATGTATTGAAGATTACCACAAACTGATACAACCACGGTTTTTAATCCAGTCCTAGCTCCCTCGGTCTGACGTCCGTGTTGACAAAAACGTCGCTTGCTTAAAGGCCATGTTACACGGTGCAATTTTTCTTGCAACTTGCAATGCAATTCTACTCTTGAGAGATGTAAAATTGCCAAATACGAGTCTTCATTACACTCCGCTGATGTTTTCTCAACAAATCGAAAATTCTTCACTGATTTCACTAATTAACATCTCTCGACTCTCGAGAGTAGAATTGCATTGCAAGTTGCAAGAAAAATTGCACCGCGTGTAACATGGCCTTAAGCTCGCTAGTATTATCTCGTGTTGAAAACGATCTAAAACTCATTTGAAGAGGCATGAGTAGCTAGTACATTTTTCATGTTACGTAGAAGAAGACATTTGCTCGGTAGTATAACAAATTTAAACACGTAACATTTGATTCGTAACCCAATCGTAAGGAATGAGACAGATTTAAAAATATCTCCTCATTGTAAATATTCTGGCATCAAAATTCGGCTTGAATTGCCTAGATCCATCCTAGTTTTCAGATCTGCATGTGATCAAAACGTATACGGGGGAAAGTCTTTGCAGCTGGAGGCACGGGACGGAAAGCGTTCAAAAGACAAAAACTATCAATATTATTAAAATAGTATAATGAATTGTAACTTACCGAATTGCTTCTCAGTAATGCCACTCTGATTTTTTATTTCATTCTATCGAAAGAGAAAAACTATCAGTTTAGGAGTAGATAGGCGGGAATTCTCTTTAAATATCTCATTTTAAAATATTTTAGACCTAATTTCCATAAATTGAACAAGTTGGCACATGTGTGCCCACCTTAAATGATTCTAGAAGGTGAACAGTTGCTTAAGCTTGGTCGTTTTTTAAGTCAAGTATCGATGGGCCAAGGGAACACCCTATACAGTGTAAGATGAAAGCTTTTTACTTACTGTCGACAAAACCTCATAAAATATCCAATCATCGCCATTCATAACTTCCATATTTTCCGAACTCCTCCCACTGATTTGACAATTTTCTTTGCCGATATATTTGTCGGTTATTCCCGAGTTAAAATTAAATCCAAAGCAGCGAAGTTCTTCAAGGCATTTCAGAGAGCATTCTTCTTCAACATCTACTACATGAGTTGATAAGACAACAGGTGCTGGCAATGGACCACCTTTATGCGCAAATAAACGAAATGGATGGAGTCATAATCTTATGTTTGGATATGAATCTGAATCTTATGGATCTGAATCTTCACAGGAATTCGAAAATTTGAAGACTTATTTTCGGTTCAAATGTTAGACTTACCTTTCCTCATTTTGATAAAGAACAATGATGTCGGCTCTGCGAAGATTAGTTTTGAAGTAAAAACCATTATAAAAAATAATATCACAGTAATAAAATTGCTCATTTTCTCGTTTTCCTTACAAATCAATGTATATATATAGAAAACGTCGCCATGCGGCAAGCAAGAAAAGCACATCCATACAACAGCTTGGCACTACTGTGACACTACTTTGAAATAAAGATAAAATTTGTTATTCAAATGTCTTAATTGTTTTAAATTTTAATGTAAATGTATATTCTTAACGAGATTGTTAATTATTGATTGAAACAATTTTATTCGCTGCCTCATGCCTGACGCTCAAAACTTAATTGCATTGTATGTAAAACAACACGACGGCTTGCCAATTTTTTAGGACGGCTTTCTTGTCGTAACGTTTCCGAGAGGAACTCAGCTGAATTGCTTGGAAACAGTCCTGGAGCTTTATATACATATGCAATATCTATGACAGTTAGGATGACTCCAGTGTCGTAGAAGGCTGTTATTCGGCAGTTTACGAATGGAAGTCGGCGACGTCAGGACGACGGCTAAACCAACTGTTTGAAATAAATAATTCTATGGAAATCTTGTCTTGTATTTTCCTTCGTATAAATTTAAAATAGTTTCGAAAGGGTAAAACAGAGCTTTAACCTTCAGAGCAATTTTGATCAACTCTGCTAGAAAAACTACCTGTCCGACTGCGTGAAATGCTAATACAAGACGTGAAAATATGCATTTTGCCGTTGTCAACAGAGCTTGGACGACGTCTAAAACCCCTAATAAAATTTTAATTATTCATTTCTTTTGTGCTATAGGATTAATGTCGTTGTATTGATAGCCGTCTTCCTGACGTCGCCGCGTCTTACATTTGTAAACTCCCTAATTTTCCAGGGGCGGGGGGTTGATTGAGGTGCATGGGGGCGACAAAAATGAAAGGTTATTATTAGTCAGTCCCAACTTTGAAAAACTTTTTGAAATCTAATAATATTAGTTAGAGAATGGTTGCACCACTCAGCCAATGACGTGCGAGCATTTCAGACTATTACATTTCAGACTAATAACAACAATTTTATTAATAACTATACTGAATATTTACAATAACAATCTGTCCGCAAGTAGCAAAAGCTAATCGAGGCAGACAATTACGGGATAATTAAATTAAAGAGAAATATTTGAGATGTAGTATTACAAAAGGCGAAAGAATAATAAGAGAAACTGTAAGAGAAATAATATTAGGTGATTTAAAATTACACAATTGCAAATTAGCATAAACATTAACAAAAAAATCACCAATTGATGTCCGACACAGCCAATTTATTCAATTCATTAACAAAACTCTACTTTATGCAGCTGCTAAACATGCCGTCTGGCAGTTCTCAAAATGTCCTGCAACCGCGAATTTCATGCATATATATACTCTGCAACATCATGGGCCATAATTACAGAAAACGCTACAAATACATAAAATTAAATAGATGATCAAATCGCATAATATTTCTATTTTCGAAACAAAGAAATACTAACGTTGGTAGGCAAAATGTTTGATATTCTCCAGTGACTTTCTATGCTCTATAGAAATTCCTAACAGCATGCTCACTTTTGTCGCACATTCCGTAAAAGCACGGAACCGTGCCTATTGCATCACATATCTTAAAACTGTTGTGCTGTTGAGATCAGTACCTCGAAGTTTGCCCGCCTGTGAAATGAATATAACTGGAATGCTACCTGGAGATAAACTGCCTATCTTTTTTTTGAAGCCAAATCCGACCCCCAGACACGCGTGGTTTCGCGATCCTCTCGCGAGACCACTTCGGGAAGCCAGCATGCCGTTTTACTATTAATAACTAAAAAATGAATAGAAAAGTCTTTTATAATAGGAATTTTTACCTGAATAAATTCTTTATTAACAGAAAGTTTTCAGCGCGCTGTTGAAAAGCTTTTATCGAAAATTTTAAGCCGGCTTTCAAGAATACATATTCATGTCGACGGATTGACCGAGCTCTTGGTATGCGTAAAAAGACTGGGACTGGCCTTGAAGTTTGGCTTTGCGTGGGCCTTATTACAGAGAATGGCAATGATAGAAAAAAAACATGAATTGATTTCCAAATCACCTAATATTTCCATTTCATGAAGACAAACACAAAATTGGTAGACAAAATAAATATTTTAGGACATTGTTAAACGTAATTATCTTTTCTCCATAGAATTGTTAACAGCATGCCAAACCGGCATCGCACATTCCGTAATTCCGTAAAAGAACTGAACCATGGCCCTCGCTTGATTCTCGACACGCCTTTTCTAAAGGATGGTGTTTATAGCATACGCTTTGAGTGCCTGTGTTTCAAACGGCGATCTCATCTTGGCGAAGTAGCATCACAAGTTGAACTGCCGTAGTCATTTGTAAGTAAATATCAGTATAACTTGTACAACAGTGAGATTAGATCACATGCATGCAATGATAGGTTCGGCGGATGAGAAGAACGAAGTTTGTTGCTCGACTTGCCGTAGCTCCAGAGTCGCATAGTGTGACCAAACCTGTCGCTTCAAACATGTCTCTGCATGTCGTACCTTTTAACCATTCTGCGAAAAGTTAATGAAACCGTCGCATTCAGTTGTGTAGCTAGTACTTAATACAGCTGTTAGGTTCGGCGCATGAGAAGTGCGACGTTAGATTACTGTTACTTTCGTTTGTCATTTGTTTCCATGTATTTGATATATTCTTGTTGAAACCATGATTTACATTGGGAGCGACATATTGAGTTCGACGTTTGATTTGACAAAACTGCTCCAACGTCGCTCTAGTGTCGAATTAGCCTTTCTCACACCGTAATTTTTGGGTGGCAACCCTTTTTAGAACAGGGATAGTACGCAGTGAAAATGAAACTTTCTATAACTATAGTTGTAATCATCATAAATCGATTTACAGTTAAATATTTGAAACATTATTTTCACATCGTTTAGATTTTTCACGTTGTTTATAAAAGAGTACCCAAAAGTGGCGGATTTAGACCTACGCGAGAAAGGCTAATAGGTTATAGGATTGTATTAAGTTTGGCGAGTGAATCGAGCGACGACGTTTGATCTTATATATATTACGCTTGGTCTTACGCTTGGACGTTTGGTCTTATAATATATATTACGCTTTCTAATACACATGCACCTGCTAACCATACTCCCCAAGGATTCTACAATAGCCAATAGGGATGTTATGATTGAAACCGAGAAAATCGAAAGTAGCATGTTCGGTTTATTTACGCGAGTTACTTCCAAGCGCACTACTGCATAGAGTCGATTGAACTTTGGCTGAATTAGACTTGGAGACTATATATAGACTGTGGTATTAATTTTAATTCCAATTTACCTCAGTGGCGTTGTTTTCACGTGGTTGTTTCCTCACGTTTTTTGCATCAAAATCAAAATCAAACGCCCCTCTTGGAAACCAGCTTTTGCTGTTGGGGTACGCGTAGTCAAAGTTTTTACTTACTTACTTACTTACTTACTTAAACAATACTCGCGCGCGTAACATGGGGTGTGGTCTTCATGTGCGTCAAACGTGGCGGCAACGAGGCCAATGGGGCATAATTGCAATAAACAGTAAAGTCTATTATAAACTGAACTTAAGCTTCTGAAGCAACTGAAAATCGCGATACGAAATCTGGTAGGGCGTGTCGTATAATCTCATAATCGGGAAGTCTCCCGATCCGATTGGGAGCGTTGGTCTGTGATATTGTAAGATAGAAATAGTTTAATCTGGCCTCTTCCACGGGCATCTGTGTGCCGGTTTATTTTTGAAAATGTCGAAGTTTCTGTAATATTAATTATAAGGTTTCTGTGATATTATTTTGAATCAAATCAGTTTGTCTACTGGATGAGTTCCAGCACCGAAGGAAGAGCAGGCGAAATGAGAGATCCACAATACCCCTCTTTGACGCAGTAAGACTCTTATAGTCTTCGTTAAAGCTTTTCGATGCATGCACATGGATCAACTATTGTTAATATGATTTACCGAACTGTGTGAGGACCGTAACGTTGACCTATATATGTGATGAGCACATATCAGGAGCGCAGTCACCAAAACGCAATCATTGTAGACCTCATAATGGCGGCAAAATAAAACAATACCATAAACTGCTGAATATAAGCCCCCTCTCCGTGTATAAGCCCGCCATATTCACTAACACTTAGTGACTTAGGCCATTTCGAACTCAAGCCCCTCCGTATATAAGCTCATATGCATGTGCTTATTATTGAAAGGTATTTATTAACACAGCCACGGGGATTCCAACAATTCAGGGGAGTGACGATAATTACATTACAGTATTATATGTTAATTAACAAACTTGTTTAATTTACTGTATGGTTAATTATATTTCTTTTCGTATGTTTATATTCGGAGGTTTACGGTGTTATCCTTACAATTTATCACACGTAAATTTCACAGTTTAAAATATCGGACTTCAGAGCCTTCAATGTTTCTAAAGTGGTTTAAACTAAAAGCCCGGTCAAACGGGCATGAGAGTTGCTATAGAGTACGCTGAGGAAACTCTAATGAGTAAACTCTCGCTTGGCAACTCCAATTAACAGTAGAAGCAAGGGTGGCTTTCGTTAAGCGTGGTTAGATTTGAGGTTAGGTTAGGATATGACATTAAGAGGGTTAAGGGTTAATTTCAGGATCAAATTCTGGCTTAAAAAGGTTTAAGGGTATTAGAAATAGATTTTGTATTCTTGGGAATTAAGAGTTCTGCTTGAACGCTAGAAAGCACTTAGCCTGCGTATCGGTTGGGGGTTGAGACGCAGAGAACAAGTGAAGGATTTAAAACGCTACATGTGGTGTATCTTCGGTAATTACTTTAATTAAATATGGCCTGCTTCGCCAGCATGACTGCGAGATCAGACAATAATTGGTCAGAATAATTAGTCTTTAACAATTCCGGCATTCTTACATTGTTCTGTCTTATGCAAGCGTAACGCTATTTAGTAACTAGACATGCAATACATACTTCAATGCAACTATACATTTTATCTATGTTAACCTCCTCCGCAGGCCGGTAGCTACGGAACATGCTGGATCGTCCGTTTCAACATATACCCCTAGGGGTTTGACAGTAATCAATTTTTCGTGACGTCAACAAAATTTTATCCAAACAAGAAAGCCTTTCAGTTCAACTCGTACATTGGTAAACACCCTCGGCGCAGTGACAAAGAAATCCACATGCATAATTGAAACCGGTCATGCTTTGTAATTCCTTTTATAATTTACCATTATTCAAACCATCCAAGGGAGCTTTTAATTTATTGACTTGACAGATTGACCAGTTAATGAAAATTGAAAACCATATAGGGACTGAGACAGGTGTGTCTGAAAAATGTGGATCAAATCACGAGGCTGATCAGATGTACGTTCAAAAAATTTGGCCCATATCTTTCCATCATTTTAGGAGCACTAAGAAATAGGCTTTGGCTATTCGGTCCACCTTTTTAAAATTTCATGTCGATTGGGGAGCTAAGCCCTAATAACCTGGAAAGTTATTTGCAACTGTAGTGTTGAAATGATACGGTAACGATTTTAGTAATCTATACTAGATTACTATGCATATGCATGCTCATACATCAGACATTTATTTATGCTGCTCCAAGCATGATGAAATGGTAATGTCTAAAAGGGATGGACGAGAGGTAGTTTACGAGATGGTTCCAAAATTGAAATAAGAGTTTGCGTTAGTATATATAGGGTTAGTGTGGGGGTTAGGATTAGGTGTGGGGTGAGGGTAAGGGTTAGTATTGTTGCAAGTGGCTGGTTGTTGATTCTTTTACGTTTTAATGATCTTAAAAACTGGCGGCCATCTTGAAAACTTGCCTCTAGTCCATCCCCTTTAACCACGACCATGATGAAATAGCGTCCTTATATCGGAAACTTTTATTTCACGTTAAGTCCTTTTCTCAAAGAACACTTTTTAAAGAACCAAATATAAATACTGGATCATTTGATGTTTATCATGTTGCAGCTTCCACGCCTTGCCACCTTTTGCTGCGGAGAGCCATATAATCTTCCTTTATAATTAGGTTGTTATTGTTGTGTGAAATTGACATTTCTCTTGGGGCATTTTGATTGGGTTTTCCACATCGCCAGCGTGGTACACCGAGGGTACCGCCCCCTCACTGTTAATGACCTGTGGCCGGTTGTTCGATAGAATTGCTCCAAGTCTCTCTTTCATTGTCATATAGTATCGATCCACTATTGTGTACATTACATGACGTAGTACGGAGGGGCGAAGCGAGAAAGAGAGACTTGTCAACTTCGGAAAATCTCGGTTCAAAACTGAACCGAAAATGCAAGACTTGCTTTAATTGTTTTCCTTCAATTTCTTTCTGTATTATTTACTATAATGGAACTCGTGTTATTTACACTGTGCTAGATCAATACATATAAACACTGACAGAAAACATTTAAAGCAAGGCATTTTCGGTTCAGTTTTGAACCGAGATTTTCCGAAGTTGACAAGTTTCTCTTTCTCGCTCCGCATCTCCGAGCTACGTCATGTAATGTACACTATAGTGGATCGATACTATATGACAATGAAAGAGAGACTTGGAGCAAGTCTAGTTGTTCGAAAGCCGAATAGCTTAATCCTAGGTTAACGCAAATTTTAAAGCAAACTTCCCATGAACAGCCTGTTTAGAAACATGAAGATAGTTTTCCACATTTCATGTCACGATCAGACATAGATATCTTATACAGCTATTTCAATTAAGGTTGTCCCCCGAGCAAAGGGGAAAAGTCGAATACGAGCGCGAAAGGCTGCTGGGAATCGCTAATAAATCCATTCATTTATTTGCGATTCCCAGCAGCCTTTCGCGCTCGTATTCGACTTTTCCGCTTTGCTCGGGGGACAACCTTAATTGAAATAGCTGTATACACTAAATAGCGCATCTCTTTTAGTAAAATTGAAGCCAAGAATATTCCAGCGGTTACCCCCATTTGAATAGATGGCGGCCATGTTGATATTTCCCACTAGCTAATAAACGCTTAAACAACAACAATAACTTTCATCATTTGAATAGTTTAAAAATGTATTTGGAATAGGTTTAGCTTAATATTTAAGTTCCGTGTTTAAGAAATAGAAAACCCCTCGAATCTTCTCATTTCATAGGAATATCCTGAGTCTGTAATCACGGCTTCAATTTTTGAATTATTGAATAATTAGATGCACTATCTAGTGTATATAAGATATCTATGGGATCAGACATCAATAGTGTCCGAATAAACAGAAGTGCAGATGTACCCAAACCAAAAAAGCTGGTTAAATTTTAAACCAGTGTTAGCGCTAACCCAGTGTTTGCCCTAACCCGGAACAACCGGTCCCTAACTGCAATACATTTATTCACTTTTGTAGACAAAATGGCGCTAAGACCGTTACATTTATTGCTCGCTGTTGCCTTGCTCATGATATACTTTGAGACGACATCATCAACTGAAGAGAACGAGGTTTATGCTCCGGAAGAAAACGAATTAGAAACTGTGGATGAGCTGGTACCTCGCTCGCCGGGCAGGAGACGTCATGGGGGACATACAGCGCACAGTCGACATGTGGGACATAGTCGACATCATGGACCCCGTCGACGTGTGGGACACAGCCGACGCATGGGATTCCGTAGAATATCACGCAAACCACGAATACGGGTGCGTCGTCAAATACGCGTGCATCGTCCAGGTATTGTTGGAGTTTTTGCGATACTTAGTTCAAGTCAATATAGAATTTATAACATTAATATTAACTAATTAATCTATTAATTAATAGATTTACTGTATGATTGATTATTTGATAGTTGGTTAATTAGTTAGTTGATTGATGAAGAACAATGAAGAAGCCTCCATCACCGTCAACATGTGATAATAGATAGCTTAAGATCTGCGACGTCGACGTCAGCTAGGACGTCAGGGCTATGCAGAGGACTGGGACTAGGATGTAGTCCCAGTCCTCTGCTTAGCCCTGACGTCCTAGCTGACGTCGACGTCGTAGATCTTAAGCTATCTATTAAACTTGCAGAGTGGAACTCCAATATCGTTTGATCACTTATTGAGTTTTTATCTCTATAAGGTCTATTGATTAACTCACAATTTTAGCAACCAGCTCATATTAGTAAATTTATTAATAGTAATTATTTTATTACCTAGATTAAGTTAAATATACATGCATTGTAATTGTTTTAATGAAAGTTTCTATATAAAAGAAATTATTAAAAAAAATTGATTGATGAAATAATTAATTGATTTATTGATTTACAGTTTGAGGAATTAATAGAGTGATTGATCAATTGATAATTCATTTATTCTATTTTATTTATTTATGGCGGGGACATCACAACAGTTAAAACCAATTATTGTGGTCCCTTTTAACATATAAGTTACATACGAATATCTAGAAACAACAGTTGATAACATTGTTCAAACTTCGACAAGAATTAGAATTTAAACATACATATCTCCATGCTCTTGGGTCCTCTGCATCAAAACAACTGTGCAGGGCTTTCGAGTAATAGTCTCGTAACAATTTCTTAAATGTACTTAAACATATATTAGGATGTTCAACTAAAGTGATGTCTTTACTTAAGTCTGTTGGAAGACAATTATAATGATTATATCTATAATTTATTTGTATTTTCATCAGGGCCTGTCCGTAATCCCTGTTATCCCTGGCCTTGTCGAAATGCAGGAGTTTGCCTGAAGGTTAGAAGAGGCAGGCATAAAAAAGCTTATACTTTCAAGTGCCTATGCAAACGACCATTCTTTGGAACAAGATGTGAAAGAAGTAAACTTTATTTCTGCTATATTTGTTTATAATTGTAAAATAAGTTCCTTCTAGTTTCAAATTATAATGATTATATATATTATTATATTTGTTTAGAATTGCAAACTGATAAGTTCCTTATAGGTTAAAATTATAATGATTATATCTATAATTTATTTGTATTTTCCTCAGGGCCGGTCCGTAATCCCTGTTATCCATCGCCTTGTCGAAATGCAGGAGTTTGCCGGCTGAAGGTTAGAACAGGCTGGTATAAAAAGGTTTATACCTTCAAGTGCCTATGCAGACGACCATTCTTTGGAACAAGATGTGAAAGAAGTAAACTTTATTACTGCTATATTTGTTTATAATTGTAAAACAAGTTCCTTGTGGGTTAAAAATTAAATGTTTTGTTTTGTGCAAAACACCGCATTTGATTAGTTCGCGGCAGTATATTTTGAACTTTTTAATATTTGATACATTTCTCAGTGGGCAAACGCACAAAATTAAAAAATATGTTTCGAAGGAACTAGACAGGCTCAGTTCCGAAATATCACCGACCTGACCGCGTAGCTCAGTTGGCAGAGCATTGGGCTAGTATTCCAAAGGTCGTAGGTTCGATTCCCACCGTGGCCAGGCATATTTTTCAAGCCTGCCCGGTGTGGATATACACTCAGAGTAACATCACAAGCATCTTATTCACCTGAGTACACTACACCAACACAGCAAATATGTTTAGAAAAGCTTATCTGTAAAAATAACATGTTAAAATCAAGAGATTTTAGATGCTACGCCACGAGAAAATGATGTCTTAAGTTCATGACAAGAAGTTTTGCATGTATATTGCTGTAAATATGGGTTCAATTTATTATAGAAAAAATGCATCTTAAAAATACCGGGGACATAGTCTACCACTCATGACAAGCTCCAGTTTAATCCCTGATTATATTTTTGTCTATTTCTATAGAACCGAATCCCTGTGATTCATCCCCGTGCAAAAACGGTGGAATTTGTTCAAACAAAGGAGCCTCGTTCACATGTCAATGCAGAAATAATTACATTGGAAGGACTTGTGAGACAAGTAGGATGTATTTTGATTAATTAAGAAAATGTGTTTCTGAATTTTTTTGTAAATCTTTTTGCTTCCTATAAAGCCCGCGCAAACTTCATAGAAAAATATGCATCATATAGAAACAAAATGCATCTTAAAAATACCAGGGACAATAAATAGTCTACCAGATTATATTTTTGTCTGTTTCTAGAACCGAATCCCTGTGATTCATCCCCGTGCAAAAACGGTGGAATTTGTTCAAACAAAGGAGCCTCGTTCACATGTCAATGCAGAAATAATTACATTGGAAGGACTTGTGAGACAAGTAGGATGTATTTTGATTAATTAAGAAAATGTGTTTCTGAATTTTTTTGTAAATCTTTTTGCTTCCTATAAAGCCCGCGCAAACTTCATAGAAAAATATGCATCATATAGAAACAAAATGCATCTTAAAAATACCAGGGACAATAAATAGTCTACCAGATTATATTTTTGTCTGTTTCTAGAACCGAATCCCTGTGATTCATCCCCGTGCAAAAACGGTGGAATTTGTTCAAACAAAGGAGCCTCGTTCACATGTCAATGCAGAAATAATTACATTGGAAGGACTTGTGAGACAAGTAGGATGTATTTTGATTAATTAAGAAAATGTGTTTCTGAATTTTTTTGTAAATCTTTTTGCTTCCTATAAAGCCCGCGCAAACTTCATAGAAAAATATGCATCATATAGAAACAAAATGCATCTTAAAAATACCAGGGACAATAAATAGTCTACCAGATTATATTTTTGTCTGTTTCTAGAACCGAATCCCTGTGATTCATCCCCGTGCAAAAACGGTGGAATTTGTTCAAACAAAGGAGCCTCGTTCACATGTCAATGCAGAAATAATTACATTGGAAGAACTTGTGAGACAAGTAGGATGTATTTTGATTTATTAAGAAAACGTATTTATGAATTTTTTTTGTAAATCATTTTGCTTCCTATGACGCCTGCGCAAACTTCATGGAAAAAAATGCATCGTATAGGGGAAAAAACATCTTAAAATTACCAGGGACGTAGTCTACCACTCATGACAAGCTCCTGTTTAATGCCTGATTATATTTTTGTCTGTTTCTAGAACCGAAACCGAATCCCTGCGATTCATCCCCGTGCAAACATGGTGGAATTTGTTCAAACAAAGGAGCCTCGTTCACATGTCAATGCAGAAATAATTACATTGGAAGGACTTGTGAGACAAGTAGGATGTATTTTGATTTTTACGAATCATAGTTCAAGCATGCGTAGAACTTGGAAACATTTCTACCGAAACATTCGTACAAACGCTTCCAGATTGTGGACAACCAGACGCTTTGGAAAGGAAATGTGTTTCAGAATTTTTTTGGAAATCTTTAACACCAAATGTTATCTGCACATTTTTTGTTTATCAGTACTATAATTCATCACTGCACAAATTGGTTATTACACTAAAATTAGATAAGGACTTTGGTGAATATTGAAGGAAAGCAGTCAAAGTTTTCAAACTTTTCCCAGCCTAAATTAGGCTTCCAACTTGGATGTAGAGGTCTAAGACTCTTCATAGGAGGTGCTGACGTATGGAGCTTATGCAAGCATTTATTTCTTTTCTTGAAGTACATGCAGCGAAATAAAAATTTTAAAATAATGAACAATGTTTCCAAGACATCAAAACTGCATTGGTCAAGCAACGTCAGGCAAAACTTTGTCTGCCCCCCTATATTTTTTCCTCGTTACCGTAAATTCTGATATATTTCTATTTTCTGTGTCTTTTTTCTTGATCTAGAACCACCCAATCCCTGCAGTCCTAATCCTTGTCTCAACCAGGGTGTTTGTCACGTGATTGGAAATGGATTCTCTTGTAAATGTCCGCTATTGTTTGGCGGGTCAAGATGCCAAGATGAACAATGTAAGATTATTATCCATTGTAGTGAAGATGTAGGGGAAAATACTGTTTGTTTAGTTGCTTGGCGTGTTTTCTACATTTATAAAACATTAAATTGTTGTTATGTAATTGGATGATTATTATCACGTGGTATTAAAAACATTACTATTTTAAAACAGTATATACTATATTTCGATTAAAACTGTGGCAATTGATACACCAGGCGGAAATCTTAACTTAAAGATAAAAAGCAGAGCCCAGAAAGCAGAGAAAGAACGAAGAACAAGAACGAAAAAGAGAAAGAAAGAAGAGCCTAGAAAGAAAGAAAGAGAGAGAGAAAGAAGAAAGAGCAAGAAAGAAGAAGTGCAAGAAAGAAGAAGAGCAAGAAAGAAGAAGAGCAAGAAAGTTGAAGAGCAAGAAAGCACAGCCCAGCCTCGTTTTTATTACGTTTGGTTTGAAAGTTATTTGCTGGGCTCTGCTTTTTATCTTTAAATTAATATTTCGATTATATACAGTGGACATAATGGCGCATTCGAATCGATTATATACATAGTATATATCAATCTGTCATCGCCTTATGATCTGACTCTATACAATATCTTCAAGGCATGTTTTCTCAATCTTCTTAGCATCTTGTACAGCGGCTGGTGACCCGCATTACACAACATTTGATAATAAAAAGATCAACTTCCAAGGAAAATGTGAATACATCCTCGCAGAAGATTGTAGTGCCAGCAAAGCATTCCGAGTGTGGACCAAAAACGTGGCATGCGGGCGCACAGGTCGTGGTGCATCTTGCGTCTCTTTTGTAAGGATTCTGATTGGACGCGACGAAATAAAACTGACAAGAAATCTGCGCACAGCCATTGTGAATGGAGCCAAGGTCACGCGATTCCCTTTTAAACGAAGAGGTAGTTATGTCCTTACATTTGTCCTTAGAGCGACCGAAAAAAAAAGCTCATTAATAATTCATAAAGAAAAGACAAAGGAAATCGCTACCATGTTGGTGGTTTTATATCTGATAAAAAATCATGTAAACTTTAACTTTGATTTTCTCGACTTAGACAACGTTAATTTTTAAAATTACTTCGCCAGTAAACTCATAATTTAATTTGTATATTTGTTTACACGTACATACTCTTTTTCAATTATAGGATTCGTTATAACAAACCCAACAGAGAGATGGCTTCATGTAGTAACAACCATCGGAGTAAGAGTGAATTGGGATTGCCGCAATCGTGTAACGGTGGTGGTTCCGGGTCGATTCAAGGGGAAAACATGCGGGCTTTGCGGCAACAACAACGGAAATACTGCGGACGATACAATCAACGTCGCTGATTATCCGTGTGTGCCTCCTGATAAAAATTGTATCGCAACTGCTGATGCCGCGCCAATAGTAGAGAAGTGTAACCTAATGAAAAACGCACCGTTTACCGCATGCAATGACGCAGTCGATCCCACAAATTTTATAGAAGACTGCAAGTATGATGCGTGTAGGTGTGAGGACCCAATGCAATGTGTATGTAATTCATTTGCGGCTTACAGTCAGAGTTGCAGTAGGAATGCTGTCGTCTTGGATTGGAGGTTTAGCGGAAGACACCTGGTTCCAGCATTATCTCAGTGTGGTAAGGTGCTGTTTACATATGTTCCCGCTTTTCCGGGACGAGATGTGAGGCAGGGTGATTTTGATGTATTAAACAAAACTCACGGTGCACGATTCAGCAAAACTATCGAACATTATTTTTCAAGTGATTACAGTATATTCGCAAACAAATGGGTTATTCAGGCCAAGCAATAATAATCGTCAATTTGAATTACGATCGAGATCTTCTTCACAACATTCCAGTTCTTTCAAATCGGCGTTTAGACTAACATTCGTTTAAGCCTAATGATTTATTTCAATACATCAAAATCATCCAGCCTTCCATGCCGTCCTGGCAAAGCTGTGTCTAAATCCGATGAGAGATAAGAGATTGGTCTTTTCGCGAAGGGTCCATCTCATTATTAATTTAAAAAACTCTTAGTCTCGGTTTGTTATATTTCACTCAGGGTTAAAATGCGAAGCATTTAAGACGCTCCACTCAGGTTTGTTTTTGTTTTTTACGTACTCTCAGTAGCAAACATGTCTCTTACGAGTTAATCATTTCATTCTTTTCTTACAGGCCAGCAGTGTAGTATCCCTAGTCAGGTTTTCACGGAATGTGGTTCATCATGCGTACAAAGTTGTCGCGACTTGTCACGTGCTACAGAATGTAACGAGCAGTGTGTTCCCGGATGTCAATGTCTCCAAGGATTGGTTCTCAGCGACGATAAGAAATGTATTCCGGTGGCGAAGTGCCCATGTGAATTTGAGAGTAAACCACTCCAGCCTGGCGAGAGCGTTGCCGTTGGGAATTGCAAGACATGGTGAGTATGATACTGATTTATGTTTTGTCCTGATCGCTATCCGCTGGATAAGTGATTTAACCGCCTTAGCTATTCACACAAAAAGTCGCTTGGTGGTAAAATGCACATCTGTTGTCATTGTCATTATTGTTGTTGTTGTTGCTGTTGCTGTTGTTGTTGTTGCTGTTGTTGTTGTTGTTGTTGTTGTTGTTGTTGCTGTTGCTGTTGCTGTTGTTGTTTGTTGTTTGTTGTTGTTGTTGTTGCTGTTGCTGTTGTTGTTTGTTGTTGTTGTTGCTGTTGCTGTTGCTGTTGTTGTTGCTCTTGCTCTTGTTGTTGTTGTTGTTGTTGTTGTTGTTGTTGTTGTTGTTGTTGTTGTTGTTGTTGTTGTTGTTGTTGTTGTTGTTGTTGTTGTTGTTGTTGTTGTTGTTGTTGTTGTTGTTGTTGTTGTTGTTGTTGTTGTTGTTGTTGTTGTCTTGATGTTGTTGTATGAATAAAACAATCTTTATATAAATGAATATTTAGATGTCTTTTTTGCGATGTGGTACTGTCTACTTCTACAGTTTATTGATCACGTGATTTATCACTTTTTACAGTACGTGTGACAAGGGAGCAGTCAAGTGTGTTGAAGATCGAAACTGTGTAAGCAAAGGTAAGTTTTCGCAACCAGAGACCAACTGATTGTAAGTTAAATAGCGCTATCCAGTATGAATAACGATGTTGTGAGCCAAGCAACGCGTATGGTCAAGCAACTTCGGCAAGGCTTCTTAATTAATAGACAGATTTAGATCGAGGACACGGACTTCAAAGACGACGTGAAAATGGCGTCAAAATGGCGTGGCATATCCATACATGGGCACAACATGCCATTTTCACGTCGTCTTTAACATCCGCGTTCTCGATCTAAATCTGTCTAATAACCACTGCAGATCGGCAAAAAAATGGCTAGTAAGCTATGGCTGTTGGCTTCTAATAGATAGCAAAACTAAATGTATAAATCCTACTAATCTTTAATCTGGGTTATACCGATTATTTTACTTCGTCTGCATGCTTATATTGTTAGGTCCGTGTGATTCTTTCCCATGTCGTAATGGTGGTATATGTTCAGTGCAGGGAAGCACATTTTCTTGTCAGTGTCCCAATGATTACCAAGGAAGCACGTGTGAAGGTAAGTTATGATTTTAAGTATTTGCTGTTGCTTACAAATTGATCGGTGGTAAGACCCAGATTTTTATCATTGCATGAAGAAGCAGGTAGCGGCAAAGTAAGGGGAGTGGATACAAATTAATGATCATTCTCAAACTCGATAATAATTCAAGAGTAAATTATCCAACCATATTGCTTATTTTGCTCACGTGAAATTACTGCATATCTGGTACAGTACAATGATCCTGTCCTAGAACTGAATGAATATTAGTTCTGTACTTGGCTGCATGGATCAAAATTATCATGAATTCTATTTAAGTCAAAACATAGTTAGAACACTCATCATACACTTTCTGGTAATCTAGAGTTTGCAATCTCTCTTGTAACAACTCGTGACTTCCAACTCTCATATACGTTTGACTAGGGCTTAATACGTACATAATCGGCATAAAATATTTAACTCTTTACATTCTCCCCATGGTAACGTCCTGCTAACTACCATATTTGGTGTATGACAATGCAAGGGTGTTATTCCAACGAGTATCAATTAAGTATTGTACCAACTAAGCCCGTTTTTCAATTTTTCATTCTGCTAAATTGTTTTTTAATTTGCTTATCTTCATTAAATAACTTTTTTAGAGCTGAAACCGAAACCATGTGACTCACAACCATGTCTTAACGGCGGCGTTTGTACGAATGTAGGCTCCTCGTTTTCGTGCGAGTGTTCGAAAGGTTTCAAAGGAGACACTTGTGCAGGTAGGTGGGGCTTCGGTTGCGAGTTGGTTTTGCGATGAGACTATAAAGTCAGTATTATGGAGGTATAATAACGGTGCCTTGCCATTTTTAGATGCAGAATGCGTGGACAAAAAGCTAGACATTCTCTACGTAGTCGACGGCTCAGGAAGTATCAGGGACGCTAACTTTGAAAACATTAAGATGGAACTGAAAGAAATGAACGGAAAATTTGCCATCGGGCCTGATAAGATACAAATAGCTCTGATGCAGTTCGGCAGAACCACTGACACAAAAATGGAATTTAAGCTTGGTGAGAAAACCTCGTTGCAAGCGGTTAATGAAGGTGTGGATAACATGAAGTGGTTAAGCTCGCTTAAAACAGCAACTTTGGATGCATTGAAGAAAGCTAGAGAACAGGTAAGACTCGTTTATATTTTATTTAAATTAATGACATTTATTTATTTTCTAGTAGAAGACGCAGTGGCGGATACAAGGGCGGAGGGCAAGCCTAACCCAATAATGTTTCATGGCCTTCGAATGATAGTTAAATAACTGTGTAACAAAGCTGTAACCATTTTTCAACAATGAAAGTATTGGTAAAGGCTACAAAATTAATTGTTATATAGTTGGTGTCAAAGTTCAATTTTTCTGTTTGCCGATTGGTCAAAACCGTATCACGTGCCGGTCCACAAAACGTCATGTTCGGCAACCGGTCCGCAATGAAACATTTATTGACCGGTCAATAATAAAATGGGTGCAATACGCATGCGTGTCAACCATGAAGTTCCAAAGTTAATTTTTAAACTTTTTACTAAACATTTACGGCGTTCCATTTATCCAGTTTTGGTTTCAAATTAAGTTCACTCCAATAACCGGTGAAATATTCATACTTTGACACTTATATACTATATAACAAAACACTTATTTACTGAGACCTCGGGAAAGCAGTGTGTTTTGTGGCCCCTCGACCGCCGTTGTTGCCCTCGGCTTCGCCTCGGGCAACAACGGCGGTCTCGGGTCTACAAAACACACTGTTTCCCTCGGTCTCAGTAAATAAGTGATAATTAAGTGATGGTATATATGTTCATCGAAAACCGCCATTTCTCTCATCAAAACAACTGGTTACTTTCGATTGATAAGAACATTGTTCAATTTTTTTCATTTAAAAAAAAATAGTAAAATGTGAAGGTGGGACCATTGAGGTGGGACCACAGGCATTCCCGGGGCTGGGGGGGGGGGACAAAAGGGGATCATAGGAAATTTTTTTAAAAGTTCACAAACAGCTCAACCCACTCTAAACTTTCTGAAAATTGTCGAAAACCATTTCCCTCATCAAAACAATTACTTTCAACTAATAAAAAATATTTTGAAAAATTTTGGTAAAATGCAAAGGTGAGACAACAGGCATCCCTAGGGTGAACAAAGGGAGGGGGGACAGGAAATTTTTTAAAAATTCATCCAACCCACTCCTAACTTTCTGAAAATTGTCGAAAAACATTTCTCACATCAAAACAGTTAGTTTCGACTGATAAAATCATGTTTTTAAAAAACATTTGTATTTTTTGATATTATACCTGGTTGCTGTGAACCAATATATTCTAAAACATGTAAACGTTATTTTTTTATCTGCGTTAGGTTTTTAACGGTGAAGGCGGAGACCGTAACGCTGCTGCTAATGTTTTGATACTATTTACTGATGGGGTAGCGACGGACGCGAACGAAGTTGACCAGATTCAGGAAGCTCAGAAATTGAAGGATGCCGGAGTGAAGGTTATCACTGTTGCAATGGGGAGCAAAAACTTCATTGAAAGCTATCGATCAACCCTACAAAAGTTAGCAAGTGTAGACGACGAAACTGGTCAACCGCTTCAGTTTGAAGCTGGCTTTGACAATTTGAACGACCTCACAAGTAAACTTGTAAAAGGAGCTTGTTAAGGTCAGCAAGATGGAAATGAGACCGCTGAATTCATTTGACGTTACGTAACATTTTTTTAATATAGCAACAGCGCATTATGTGCTAGTTATGACTCAATAACTCTTTAATAATTAGTTAGTTTTCTAGTTATAAGTACGTAAAATAACTTCTTTAAGAGACATTTACAGCATGAGCTCCACCTTTGAATTTACTATATGAGTAAATTCTTAAACACGTCCGAATTTATCATTATGATAAATTCGCGGCAAATTTTGAATTTATCATAATAATAAATTCGCGGCACCTAACACCAACCCTAACCCCAACCCTAACCACTAACCCCTAACCCCTAACCCTAACTTTTTTAACTTTTTAAATTTCTTTAACTTTTTTAAAAATCTAACTTTTTAAACTTTTCCTGCTTTTCAAAACTCTTTTAAAACTTTCTTAAAAACTATTTTTTTGGGTGACATCTAATTCTCGTTAACCAATGCAGACAATTAAAACACTGTGGAAAGCAATTTTTCAAAATAAACTAACCATTTACACAAAGCAAATTTACCATCATTCGTCCAAAAATTCATAAAAAGTCGCTGTTATGTGGACTTATCTCGCAGACTTCGGCTAAAAAGCCACCCAAAAATGGCGGAGTGAGAAAGGCTAATTCGGCTACTGTTTGCCGATCCCGTGATCAATAAAGCAGCCACTTTAAAACGTTTCGGTGACATATTTATGCATCAGATCAAGTATCTCCACGGGTGGCCAAGTAACAATTCGTAGCTCACACTTTTGTCCATGCTTGGGCCTCTATTATATATAACAACAAAGTTTAAAAACAACTATTTCCTATACATATATTGCGTGTCGGGTACTTACCAATTACCATAACCAAGCCATATTCTCAACTATTTTTTTCATCAAACATCTTTAAAATTCTGAAAGCAAATCGTATATGGCAGTGTAATCAAACGATGTCGATAAAATGTTGATTATCTTTAACACGAATTGGTTACTCATATAAATATCTGATCAAAATAAATATGCTATCAAAACGTAAGAACACAACTGCCTACCGAGACCTGTGCCGTAATTTAGAGTTAAATATAAACAATTACACCCTATGTACTTTCTGTTAAAAAATGAAGGCTATTTATGATTCACCTGCAAATTAAAATACCACACAAACGGTGGGCATTTTGTCGCTAATTTCTGGTAATGCATGAGGAGAGCCGGCATAATCAAGTGGGCCAACTAGAAACTTGTACGCAGTTATAACATCATAAATTCTACATTTGTTTATTTTGTTTCGGGTGACATAGCAGATTTTTCAGGTAGTTTGTGTGATCAAGCAAGATATTTC